TCTCCTAATTCACCATACCATTAGGCACCGACATGATTGACTCAACAATATTATCCGGCCGACTACTAAATAAATAATGACTAAAAACAAACATGATTATCAATTAGTTATGCCTGGTTCCTGTCGCAATCATTCACGCCAGAATTAAGGTGTAGTTTGTGGTTTTGTTCAGTGCGGCCGACCGCGTTTAAATCAGGTTTAACTCGGTCCGAGCGGGCCACCATTTAGTCGGCGAATAAAATTGTCATCGCACCCGGTATTATGCCTTGTATACCTCCTGTAGAATTATCAGTTTTCTCGCGAAATTTTTCGCATAATTACGGGTATTTATGGTAATTACAGTGATTATATAACTTTAGCGGCTATTACGGTATATGCAGGAATAATTAATTTTATTCTTAGAAAAGCCATTTACAATAGTTAGAATTATATAATAATAATATAATTATTTATTTTTATTTTACTCTGTATAAGTTAGAAAATAATATTGGTATTTAACTTTAATTAAAAAAAAATAGAATATAATTTAACTTATTAACTGTCATAGTTTAAAATGTTTTCAATTTTCGTTTCATATATTGAAATGATCTCTTTAGAACAAGTGTAGAAGCTACGCACTGATGAACTTAATTTATTAAAGGGAATAAAAATTTAAATTAATTATTTAAACATTCCTCCAAATAGTAATTTATAAAATTATTTCATTATTTCGGATCAAACGCACTCAAATTGAAAAAAAAAAATCTAACTGAATTAATTTGTCTTGATGTTAGTCATTTTGACATAACTGTTCCTTCGAAAATACAGAATTGACAGATTTAATTTATACATTATCTTTTTAAATATTATATTTCATTCGTTTTTATATCCTCTGTTAGATCTATGTATTATTAGTAAAATACAAAATTCCAATCTAGGTATTGTCAGTGATAAATTATAAAATAAATCAGTTTCGTGTGTAATCATTAATTAAATTATTATAAATTTTGGTGAGCTATTAGTTTATAATTATAATACATATATTTTAATAAATTGTTTGATTTTATCTGCAACGACATATAGGCTTTTAAAAATTGTATTCCCGGTCTACGGTTGTCACACTTGTTATTTATTTTTGTAAATTAACACTTTTTTTTTGCTGTACAATGGCTTGACGTTTCGTGGTGAGCTAACTATAATAAAAAATGTTTATAAATACCTTTTGACAAGGAGGGCGATTGTGGCCTCCTGATCCTCCTCGGAGGCGGCGGTTCCGGCCTGTACCTGAGGGGCTGGGGGTGCGGGGGCGGCAAGAACCCGTGGGGCAGCCCTAGCGGGAACCTGGAGCCGGGGAATATAGAGTGTGGTGGGAAGAGAGCACCCGTGTAGAGCCGAAGCGGAGACTCGAGCACCATCATGGTCACCTCATGACCGTCCACTGAGCCTGACCTCTGAGGCAGCGGTGGGCGTGGCCCCGCCCACTTCCCCCACCACCGCCTCACGTCCCATTGGCCGGCCACGCCCCCCCATCTCCTCTATAATGATTAGTCAATTTGTAGGGGCATTCGAATTAATTGGTCCTACTACCTACCCCCACTTCCTGTTCTAAGCCCTTGTCACTTGCCTCCGACCCGCCCGGCTTAACTAATAATGTTCCTTACAATATAGTATATAGATATATATTTTGCCATACCTCTGTTACAACACCGTTCCCTGTAAACGCTGCTTTCTGACTGTTCACATATAACTTCTATGTACTAATATTATTGTTGAAGTGAATTGAATATGTGTACCTTTTCTACAATGCTCATCCTCGTGAATTCTAATTCAAAGTATTCTTTATTTAACTATCAGAACTCACATGTTACAAATAAAATATTATTATTTTATTAGGAATCTACACTATTCCGAATATTGTAAATTAGATCTCTTTTCTCGCTTCTCAGGAGCGATGGATTCCATTTATTGAGGTATTAAACGAAAGAAAATTTCATAGAAAAATGAGTACTAATTACAAAACTTTAAACCTTACTAAAATTACTATGAATGTCATTGAAAAAATTAGGAGGTTTCAAATCAGATGGTTTAAAAAGTGAGCTGATCAACATTTTTGGTGTTTTTCCAATTTTTTTCCTTACTTTTTATTATTTTATTTTCCAATCCAACAAAAAAACAAAAAAAAAAACACACGACATCCATATGTGCTTGTTTTAGGAGAAAATTTTCTAATATTATAAAATAAGGCTCTGTTTATTTTTTTCACCATATTTTTTTTATTTTCATAGTTACGTTTTGGCCGGTAAGCCACCTTCAAGCCATTTTATCCAACCATGCTTTTTGCATTTCTAAACCATGCTTTTTGCAACCTCGCAAGTCTAATTGATTAGACTTTGCACCACATGGAAGAAGCATGGTTGGATAAAATGGCTTGAAGACGGCTTACCGGCCGAAACGAATCTATGAAAATTAAAATCACTATGGTGAAAAAAATAAACAGAGCCTTATTTTATAAAACACGACAGGCTCAGTGTAGTTTTGCTGAATTTTGATCCAAAATGTGTCGTTTTAGAGATAGGCCAAATTTTATTCTAGTGATAGTGAATGTAGACGTCACGATTACCATTGATTCCTAATCACATAAATATTGAGATATCTTCATATTTTATTGCTCAAAGGCCATTTTTTTTTTCTTTTTGTCAGTCCAGTGTGTCTTGTAAATTCTTCATTAAATCCAATGATTGAGTCATCATTTTGAAGATTATCTTCTCCTTCAATTGGGAAAAATAGACACAGCCCCTCCCGAAAATACAGAGAAAAAGTTAAGAAGCAAAAGATAATTTATATTACTCAAAAACTACTCAATTTATGGAAGATTACACCCATGATTATTTATAAGGTTACTGAGTTGCCTACAGAAACAAAAAAAAAAAAAAAAACACATCGAAATTGAAACATTATTAGTAAAGATTTAACTTATAGTAACTTCTACACATGTGTTGTTTATTATTAATTTTATGAATTAACTGTTCTGATTAAAAAATAAAAAAAGAATTCCTCCATATCATAATATTGTACTTACATTATTATATTATTATTGTGTCATCTATTGACTAACAAATATACTATGCGAATTATTCACCCAGATGAATTAGTCATATATTTTTTGACAGAATAAATATCTTTCAATTTCAAAATTTTTGATTAATAATTTTAGTAATATTTATATTGGAAAAATATATATACCTTTATTCACAGTTCTATATTTCAACACTGCAATCAACTACTCTAGAATTAACTCTCTATAGGTACATATATAATGAATTCTCCAACTAGAAATATCACTATTATGACATTACTCAAAAATGTTGGAATTGGAGTCAGTTATTCTGTCAATTGAAAGTTTCATTTGAGTATTGCTCTCAATATAGATACAAATTTTTTTTTAAATATTTGAAGACAAAGGGATAATACATAACTAGAGAACATGTAATAAGGTTATAAAATCAAAATGACTCAGACAAAAGTAAGTTACTGATGAATATGCAGTGTGAAGAATTTTCATTCAAAAAAGGGGACTATAACTTAACATAACATGGTTCGAAAATACGAAATTACCTTTATGCCACTTATATTTTCGGGCAAAAAGTACACACCAAATATACATATATGAAGGAATCAAGACTCAGTTATCGAACTATAACAGAGTGAGAAATATATTCAAAAAAGTTTGTGGCAACATTTTGAATCATCCAATTAAAATGAATGTAGAAGATCTGACATTCATATTCTTAGAATATAAAGCATGATATTATATGAAGATAATACATATTGGTATATTTATCTACTATAATTAATATAGAATATAAAAGTTCAAATGCATCTCTTGCAAAATCACGAATTTTGAGTTATGACGCTCTAACAACAAAATAATGATAAATGTTAATTTACAAAAAAGAAGGATATATTGCTTTCTATTGTCTCTTAAAACGTTCTTTGAAAGTCTGAATTATAATGGATTGCAATAAGGTTTTTCATTGTATTTTATTCATACATTTCAGTAATGGAATCATCTGAAAATAATTTTCTATTAGAATTCCTTTTATAATTTTTAAAACAATCAACTAAAAACATTTAAGTATAAGAAAAATATCAATGTCGTTTCAAAACGTACTGATCATCTTCAATTTTACAAGAATATTTAAAAAATCATGGTTTTAACTGTGTACTGGAACTGATCACTAGATATAAAAGTTTGAACTTTCCAGTAGGGACTTTAGTAAAAATAAAAATTATTTGTATTTTATCTAATTTTATCTGTATAGCTCAATAATTTTTTATCGAAAATAAATCTCTTCTAATTCAGCGAATTTTTGTATATTTTGGAACCAATATTTTTAAATATAAAACTTTCTTTGAGCGCTAATATTATATTATTGAAATATTTCTAATCATAAATTCAAATACTTTATATTGCCTTTTCGTTTTTGTTATTAAGTGATAATTGTTTTTTAATATTAAATACTTTATTGTAATATTAAAAAAAATATTATAAACAGTAAAAATTTCCATTACAATAAAATGATTGACATTTCTTTATTCTTTGGAATTAGGCTCATGTCTTATAATAGATACTATTTATAATACTTTAAATAATATTTGTTTTTTGATATATTTTTTAAATACCTTTATGTCTATTTTAAGGAATTTTTCACTTACCTGGTATATCGACATACATATGTGAAATCTTATCATTGCATCTTATTTTCGATCTTTCTTTTCATCTTCTTCTGTTCAGTGCTCATTCATAATTATCGTAGGTACTGTTTATCATTTTGTGTATTCCTTTAACAAGTCCAGATTACTTTTTACAACTTTCATTTTTAAAATACTAAAGGTTTTATAAACCTTTAATTACAAGTCCTATAATTCCTTATTCATAATTCACGTAGTAAAATACAAGCAGCTTCTTTATATATGTATCCCATAGCCACCCTCTTCTATCACATGTTAAACGTAAGACCATCTTTATCTGACTATGTATCAACTCCTTTCCCGTATTTCCTTCTTAATCTCTTTCTTAAAGTCCTTACAGCGTATACTACTTCTTCCAATAAAACTTTGGATTCACTCACCTAAATTTTTATCTTTTCTGAACATGGGCTTACCACAAAGCAATTTTTAATTCCATCCAATTTTCCTTTTCCAATGATTTTATCAGCTTTTTTACTTTATATGCTTCTTTTTTTTTTTAACTTCTCTTCGATTACAGTGACCGTTAGCGGGATTAGTCTTCTTAAATGTAATAATTTAATTCTGTTAGTTTGATGAATTGACTCGTTTTTTTAATATCATCAGTTTCTTTGCGTGGAGTTCAGTGTTGCCCGAAATCGGTCTTGGTCTTGTACTTGTACCAAGACCAAGACTGGTGAAAAAAAAATTATTGTGAATAAAAATTAAGGTAAAATAGTTACAAATACTTCACAATTTTAGTTACTATATATAAAGAATTGGTATAATCAATATACTTTTGCAGTTAACTCTTCCAATTTTTCATTCAGACTTAGTTAGGTTTCCACTATCTGAAAAATTACAGTAATTTCTCAATAGTGATGGGCTAATAAACTGCATGACTGTTGCGAGACTCTTACACAAGATCAAGACCAAGAATGAGTGCGCAAGACCGAGACTCGTCGTGGTCTCGCATTTGTGCAACACTAGCGGAGCTACATTTTCAATTTTGAGTTTTCAATAATTCGTTCTTTACGATATTTTTTGTTTTGTAATTGGTGTTTGACAGTGTAATTTGAATTTCCACTAATATTTCAGTCGGTGTAGCCCTTGGAGCAGATGGAGGTGGGTGAGCTTACTATCCCTAACTCTTAGTCTAATATTATGGACCATTCCTTTGGCGTTAGATTTTTAGAGACAGCAAAGTATGATAATCTTTGCTAAGATGAAAATGATCGAATGACAAATCGCATTGTTTATTCCAATTTTTCTTCTCATTTCTTATAATGTCTGGAGTTTATTCGTTGAAAACTGTTGGTCCTAAATAAGGAGAATCAAAGTTTCTGGCTGCTTCTTTTACTTCTTCATCAACTCGCTTAATGTCGGTTATTCCTATATGTGAAGGGACAACAGTAATCTTTCCTTATCATTATGTTCTAGCTTAAGGCGTGCCCAGAAGACAGGTTCCACTAGTCCGTGTATGATTATTTAAATTATTTATCATATATTCAAAATTAACATAATAGACTTAGTTGAACTGCATCATCCAGCCTCCCTAACAACCTCGACAGATATTATCCTTGTCGAGTTCCTGAAGAAGTTCGGAATCAAATCCGAGCTCTCCAAAAACTACGGTGGGCCACAATTCGAGCTATGTTTGGGATTTGGAACCCAACCTGAGCTATTCCCCGATGAGATGGTCGCAACAACTGATTTGGCAATATTGTTCTTGTCATTGTTGATTTTGTTTTCAAAAAGTTTTTTCAAACTCCTTGTTATGTCGAGCTAATATATTTTTCACGTAGCTGTATTCCCTCTTAAAAAATGAGCAACGAATAAAGAAAAGGGGACAAAAATGAAAAGAAAAGTGGAGTTTATGTTTACCCTTATGTAAAATGAAAGAGTTGAAAAAAAAAAACAAGGGTCGAACGGTAAGAAGCGAAGAGGGAGGGGAGTCACGGACGGGCAGTTTGTCCTTATTACGAGGGACCGCCTTCGTTTAACCCGCGCTACGTCTGCGACAAATTTATGGCCTACAACACTTACATATTTCACGGGATACACTGGGGCTTACCGCTGTCCCTTCCTCTTTATTCACTAAATATCTAATATCTTCCTCGATCCTTTCTGGATTTGTTCACAAGGATCTGAGAGGGCCCGGGTTGGTCCAGGGATCAGCTTCGCCTCACCATCGAACGTGCTCCTGGAGTGCCTGCCAGTCCAGGGAACATCGGGTCCCCGTTGCGCTCCGAGTTGCTGCATCTAATCCTACAGTTCATAAAAAAACATCCAGTTCTACTGCACTGTTATATGGTATTTGCGTCAACGATCAATATTAAAAAATATTTTAATACCTTTACAGACGCAAAAATATCTAACCCTCACAGTTGTATAAGGGCAAAGAGCAGAGAGGAACCCAGAAGGGAGGCGTATGTCTTTCACTGTGCAATCAAAATTGTTAAGGGAGATACATTTTATGGAGTTTTAAATTTTTGGGGAGAAGTAGATTTTCAAATTTTTTTGAGCGGTCAGTCCAACCGATTTTCATGTGTGATTGTCAATATTATTCAGTGAAATGTCGTGAGTGTTTTGAAACTATTTAAATCAGGGTTTGGAATCAATAATTAAAAAAATAGAATCTCAAAATTTTTATCTGGAATTTTTATAAATCATTCGATGATCTGCATTAAGAGCTATTTTTATTTCTTATCAACAATCCAAAATCCTTTGTAAAATCCTTAATGCTCTCTACTTTGTCACAAATTAAATCATCCATAACGACCTTAATGTACCATATGTTTCCGATTTATCTCAATCCAGATACCTATCCTTCCATAATAAACTTCTGAACCATCCGAACCCTTTTGTTTCCTACTCTGTTTCCTCTTCTATTCCTGATAATGCTCCGAGGCGCCTGAAAAGAAGATGGACTCGGGACCTTCTAATATAGAAATTTAATTGGAGTGCTACCAATGGGTAGTTTATTTTCATGTTGTACACGTCATGTTACTTGTTTCATATTTACTTGTTGTGTTTATCATTTAATACCGTTGTAAATTTCATTATTAATAATAATAATAATAATAAAAATAAAGTTATCATAAGTGATAAAAATCATATCCTGATCGTTATTTTTTAACATAATTTTTAAAATTAACAATAATAATAATTCTTGAGTAATACTTTTTTTAAAACAAAAAATATAAATTTTTTGTATTCTCTATGATATATTTTGAGTCTGGAAAATATTTTTGACAGCTATTAGCAATAGAGTATCTATACTTCCGAATTAAATATTCCGTTCTATTTTTGCCTGCTAACATGGCGTCACGTTAAGATACAATTTTAACTAATAGCACATTAAAAGAAGATCAAATTTTGAACATTTCCCTCGCTTACATTATACAGGTCCGATTTTTAGTTTCTGAGATGTTTTCACTTATGTGCTTAAAGTAGAAAAGAGCCAATTATAGATATAAATGCGTTCAACCTTACCGTTTGTAAATATATAAAGGTTTTTTGAGTATACTGCTCGACTGAGATTTTAAAGTTATATGTATAAAATAAATTTAATTAGTCTCCATTTTTGTTGGTTTCATATGCAACAAAAAGTGCAAGTTCATGAACATATGTGATGATTATAAATTGTCAATACTTAAAAACTTAAAAATACTATGATAAAAAATAATATTACTTAGAAAAAAAGAAGAAATTAACTACGATAATAACTCTATTCAAATATGTTTATCTTATTTATTTACTTAAAAACTTTGATAGGTTGTTATTGTAGTTGACATTTATTTAAACTTGATGTAGTAATGAGGGGTGCTTTCCATAATAAGTAACAGCTCCTGGTGAATACCTTACATCTCTTACGTAGATATTTGGTGACATTCAGAAAGTTCCTTCGAGTAAACGTACAGAAAGTCAATTGATGTATTGTCAAAAGATTCTAGAGTTTCTTACTGATACGGAAGGCATCTGACGACTACTCTAAATCTGACGACTAAGTTTAATGTCCACTGACATCCCTAACCATGTATTTTCCTTTTATTAAGACTGACAGGGTTATTTCAATTTTTTTTCTTTTTTTTATTATAAAAAAGTTAAATTATACTTTTAATTGGCCAAGCTATTTACAAAATATTTAAAATAATATTTTTTTTTTAATCCAAATTAATTACAGTATTATATCAAATTTACTTTAATTGTGTTCACTTTAATGAGCTGGTTATTTAAAGAGTTGGTGTCATTTTATTTCGCACACTCATCATTGGTGACCCCGACACTAACATAACACGTAACCTTTTGATAAATGATAACCTTTTCTGAAATAAAATGAAGCTGATGTTTTCAATAGAAATTTAATATTTTACATTACTTTTTCCCATTATTAGTACACTATTTTATAAATGATTCAAATATTTATTAATTACATTTTCAAAATAAATACTCGAAACATTCGTAAATAATTTTGGTCAAATAACATATATGTTCTAAAATATCGTATCTTGTTATGATTATTATACTACGTTATAGTGTACTTAACACTTTCAAAGTCAGTTTTTATCAATATAAGAGTCCCTTAGAGCTACGGAAATAATCCTGTCTCTACTAAGGGACAGTATACACTTGATGGGTTCCCATTCAGGTTGTTGTGTATTTCGAAGTTATATTTATTTATTCAGAAATATTACAATTTGTCAAAATTAAGGACATTTATAATAGTATCCATAGAGCACATTCACACTCTATTTACCATGTATAAAAATAAATAACACAGAAACTAATAATAATAATCAAAAGAGCTAAACTAATGCATACTATACGATATTTACAGACTCCATTCACTCAGAAGAACACCGAGTCAAGTCTTTCTCCCCACTTGTGGAAGGAAAGGTAGGACTCTAGGAGATCCCAGCGCCTCACACTCAGCCGCATTACTGATATTAACGACCAGTAGAGGCTGATTGTGTATTAACTCTAAAACTTAATGTAGTAGTAGAATGCCTTCCGAACCTGAATGGAACTGGAAAATCAGATAAATTATTACTTGTTGTGGAATAAAAAAACAACTATTGTTTTCTATGCTAGCGATAGGACAACAGTTCACAATTCTTGCACTTTTGATCAAGTGTCGGTGTGCTATTCGGTAAAATTATACAATATAATATATTGTATGTATAAATAATACAATATGATACTACCGATTATATTGTGTGCGTGCAGATGGTCTTTGGGGGAGTTCATTGCTGCAGGACCAAGCATCCTGTGAATTTGAAGAGCATTCTCTTTCATAACTTCATCCTCGTCAATAGGTCTTTTGCTACGACAGAATTCCTGGTCGGTGCAGAAATGAAAATTTATGGTTGATGGAGTTTTTGAGAGGAATCCGAATTCTTTCGACCGTGAGGTTATTGGTCCTACTGTCACCAAGTCCTTTCTTCTACAGCCAGGAATTCATCCGACTGGAACGCCCGTTCATATACAGCATGGCACAATGGATACCATCTCTCCTTTTAGAACTGAACTTGAAATAGGTTAAATTTGTATTTCTTCGCATTATAAAACGAATTAACAAAAAAGATTACCAGAACTTTTTAGTAAAGACTAAAAATCTGTCATATTTAAAATTAATTTGCGGTTAAATAAGGAGGATAATATCAGTATCCACACTCAAATGCCAGATATTTACACCAATAAGTGTTACTAAAAAAGGCTAGGTAAGCCCAAGGAGAGATAAGTTAACTTTTTAAAAAATATTTCTAATAATAGGATGACGAATTATTTCAATGATTGTTTGATATACCATAATGGTAAAAGTTTTTATAGAAGCCGTGATGTTCGAGAGGTGTGTTCATCACCTTAGCAACCTAGAGTTTAGTGGAGCTGGTTCGAATCTGTTCTGAGTGGATTGAACTTCATTTCGAGTTGGACCCATGAAATTAATCTCGACCTTCCCACTTTGGCTTGAAACAATTTTTTTATTTATGTTCCTGGCTAGGGAGGGCAAATATATATTTGCATATATGAAATAAAATAATAAAAATAAAAAAAAAATATTTTTTAAAAATAGAGGTTAAATCCTCTTATATAATATATAAAAGGTAAGCTCTTTTCTGTGGAATTTTTTGGGAAAAAAATTGAAATCAACTTTCTAAGGAACTTGTTTGTAATTAAGTTCTAGGTGAAAAGGTAGCCGTGTAGCTCAGTGGTAGGGCACTAAGCTTCCAATGCTCAAAGTCCCAGGTTCGAATCTCGGCTCATGGCAGAAAAATTATTAATTCTGTTTCATTAGCCGTGGGGCGTTCCTGGGTAGAGAGACCCTCCTGGGAAACACCCAGCCTCTACGAAGTAGTTACCCTTAAAAGGCAAAAAACCTGGCTTTTGAGCGTGATCCTGACCCGATCCCCTCCTTGCGCAACCGTTGGCCTTGTAGCAGTAATTTCCCTAAATAGTGCTGAACCCAAGATCCTTCATGGATTGTAGTGGTACAGGTTTATTTTTTTATTTATTATTATTTTTTATTTTTTAATGGTTAAAGTTTAAGTTTAATTTAATTAAGTTCTTAAAAAAATACGTTAAATGAGAAGTAATAGGGGTTCGGGATTAGATTCGAGTTGTAATTTATCCTTAATGAACTACTTGATTCTAATGTATTGTTTGCTTGAGTAACTAAGAATAGAAATATAAAATAATTTTTGCCTTCTTTTTTGACTGACCACCCCAACTATTCTTCTCTTCTTTAAGAATAGAAATAGTTTTTTACATCGATTTTTTTATGAAATCCACATAACTTTAAAATGAAAGTTTTAGTTATGAAAATTCTGTAAAATATCTACTTGAAGATTACAGTATTTCAAGGAGAAAAAGTTCTGGTTCCGAAAATAAAACAACAGAAAAAAATTTAAATAAAGATTACAATTGTTTCAAAATCAGTTAAAAATTAAAGAGGCCGTATTAGACCTCTAATATAGAACTTAGAACTTAAATTGTAAGTTAAATGATAAAAGGGACTTTCAGGAGGTCTAATGAGGCCTCTGATTGTTGTAGTAGCAGTATTCATACCCGAGCAGCATATCTCTGCAATCCCTATTCGTGAAATAATTCAGCATAATGGTAGGCTTTGCGTTATTATTAGTGTTGCCCAAATGCGGGACCGAGACGAGTCTTGGTCTTGCAAACTCAGTCTTGGTCTTGCGCAAGAGTCTTGTAAATAGTTTTGCAGTTACAAATTAGCTTATTGCTATAGAGATATTACTGTATTTTTTTAGATAGAAGAAACCTAACAAAGCCTGATCTAGTTAAATGCATATATTGGTTATAGCAATTCTTTGCATATAGTAACTAAGATGGTCAAGTATTAGTAACTATTTTTCCTTAATTTTTATTTAAAAAATCGATTTATTTTTACCATCCCTGGTCTTGGTCTTGCAACAGTTAGGTGCCTTGATTTTGGTTTTGCAAAGGGCAAGACCAAGACCGATTTTAGGCAAAACTAGTTATTATACCTCCTAAAAGTTTCTTTTATCATTGGCCTTAGTAAATGTAATTCCTGTTTTCTCAAAAAAAAAAAATTTTTTACTTTACGATGGTGTACTTAGAATTGAACTATATTGAAAAGTTTTTAAACAATTATTTCTTATTCAATAAAAAATGTGGCCACCTTAGGAAGATCAAAATTGGTCTTAACTCCTTTTTCGTTCGGAATTGGGCTGTGCATCAAATAAACTTTTTTGTTGGACATTTTGTCCAGAATCACTCCTCCAGAGTTCGGTCGTTAAGAACTGTAGAATTGTAATAATTATGCAACTTTGTTGTCTGTCAATAAATTCATTATTTAGATTGGATTGGAGTATTTGAGTTTAACTCGTGTTTCATCGTATTTTATTTTTATGGCATTAGTACCAATACAAAAAGAACGTATTTAAGTGTCCATTTAGAACTCTCTAAAGTATTAGTTGAATTCAGAATAAGATACTTTGAATCGGAATAAAGGGCCGATAGATCAACTCAATGTTGGAGATGGATGAGATTTTTGATACAACAGAAATAATTTCCCCAGAGCCCGGAGCCCTATTGCCTCAGTGTCGATATTGTGCATGATATATCGCATTTCTCCAACGACCAGTTAGATGCTTTGCTTCTCTCTACTTTTTCTACCGAAAGAAGTTTTTACAAATTAAGTCAGATGCTTTGGGATTCATGGAAGAGTGCAATTCCTTGAACTTATAGGGAAAGGTAGCTTGAATATTTGAATCATGATTATTACTTCAATCCAACTCAGCTTAGGAATCATATCACGCTGGATGATTTGATAGATTAAACTAAATCATATGTATTTTTTTAGAATTCATAAAAATAATGTTTTTCATGATGAATCAGTGAATAGTCAGATGGTCTATCCGGTCCATCATCTGACGTCAATGCAAGGAATCAAGATGATCAATGACTTCGTACCTCTCTTGTAATCATTCCCGCAATACTAATCCATATACAACTAGAGTATTGTTTTTCTATTAAAATGATGGAAATTATTATTGTTTTCGTAATAATAATAAAAGTTGCTACACTATTTAAATTAATTATAATTATTTCACACATGATATTTTCTTTGTATATTAATACTTAATGTTCAAGAACAATACAATACTAGAACAATACTAACCCCTCTACTTTACTTTATATACACTTACTATATACCTATTAAAGATGAGATCTTGACAGCTGCTTATGCAGACGACACAACAATTCTCACAAAACATCAAGACCCTACACAGGCCTCACTAACACTACAACATCACTTACTTAAATTACAAGATTGGTTCACACTATGGAAAATTCGACTTAATTATGACAAATCCAAACATACAACATTTACTCTTCGAAAAAACACCTGCCCTCCAGTTTATATTGACAACAATCAAATTCCTTAAATGGACACGGTACTTTACCTTGGACTCACCTTCGACAGAAGGATGACATGGGATCCGCATGTTAAAATGAAACGTAAGACACTTCACAAACGACTCAACCTACTTTACTCTCTTTTTTCTAAATCTTCAAAACAGGAACTGAATACATATACATACTTACTTAAGCCCATATGGACGTACTAATCACAAATATACGGCATCGCTAAAAAGACCCACCTACAAAAACCTCAAACGTTCCAATCAAAATTATTGCGACTCATAACAAAAGCACCTTGGTACGTGACTAACAAAACTCTACATACTGACCTCCACTTTCCAACAGTTGACCAAAATATAACGACCTTTTATCAACGATTTTACACAAATTTAAATGGACATAATAACAGACTAATAAGAGACATGGCCACAGCTGACATGCCCCAGAACATGAGGAGGAGATTAAAAAGGCATTGGATGAGAGATCTCCTCCCTTAAACAACCTAAGTAATTGGAACAAGTTAGGGAAGAGATACTGCTGAGTACTTTCCTTCCCCATGCCTGTCATGTCATTATATCATGTATCGCCATCTCATTTGCTGATTATCAACAATAAGTTGACAGGCGCAAATACATCTTTAAAAAAAAAAAAAAAATGCATATAATATAATATAAAATAAAATATATAATATAATATAATATAATATAATATAATATAATATAATATAATATAATATAATATAATATAATATAATATAATATAATATAATATAATATAATATAATATAATATAATATAATATAATATAATATAATATATAATATAATGTAATATATAATATAATATAAAATAAAAGTTGCATTATTTGAGCATGATTTTTTCAAGTCAACATGAAACACACTACAAATGCCAAGTTTAGAGGGGGCTTTGCACCGTTTGATAATTTCGAATTGTTATGATCAATTACAGTATTTCGAATTTTGTAAATATCAAGGGAATAGCCATTTATAATAAGATGGTTATCAAAAACTTGTTTGTAGTGCATATTATATTCAATTTTACAGAGCTGTTTACGTTCAATAGTTCAAGAAAAACTAAATTAACTTTTTTTTTAACACTTGAAACCACTATAATGGTACTTCCTTTGGACAAATATTATATATACTACCTTTCCTGCTAATATTGTGTAATGATTATCTTCGTTTTACCAGTTACCATAGTATTTCATAAAATAAAAACAAAAAATTTTTCCTGTTGTTAAAAAATTTAGGTTTTTGAATGGCCATATGCTTAGGACTATTGGGCCTAAAGCGATAAGGGCTAAAATTAAAGATAATGGAATGGACTACAAAGTAGTTTAACAATCTTAGGATTTACTGTTTTCTTGATATTTTCAAAAGTGCTATGTCGGGCAAAAAACAGTGCATTTTGAATTTTGTCAACAGAACGGAGGGGAGGGGAGAGAGGTTCTTTTAAACATAGTTAGCCAATTTTTTTCATCTGGTTAGTGTGCAGTTCGATTTGACTTGAAAAAAAATATGCAGTTTTAAGTATTCCTTACCTCCGTTTCATTGAGGGTAATTTTGAAACACCCCTCGTTTGGGTTTGCAAATTTAATGCTGAGGATGGATATCCTAACATATCAAATCGTAAACTTTAACATTCTTGAGTACAGCGACGCCTCACAAAGGAGTCCGAATAACTTCCGAAGATCTAGATTGGGGCAAGTCCTGAAAACTGTTTAGAAGTTCAAATCTATCTCAACAACAAAGTCTATCTAGTTTTTCAGACAATTCTTGAAGATTTATGAAATGAAATCATATGGTTTATAAATGTTTAAAACGTCATAATAATTCTCATTTTTTCAGCTGTCCTAAAACTCACTAAAAGTCCGTGGTTATATTCATCAAAGACCATTAGGTTTAAACATTAAAAAGATGATTTCCTTTCTTTCAATTTTTATCCCATATAAATTCATAATTAATGTAACAATAGGGCTAAAAATTGCATGAAATTATTGGCAAATTGGCAGAAATCTTATTAATCCGGTACTAATGCAATCGATATTCCAAATTTCTATTTTTATTTTTTCTTCTAGTGTCCTACAACACCCACATTCCTGTCTATTTATTTCGTAACGGATCCAGGGAATGATTTTTTAACCTTCCCAATCTGGTTAGAATAGGTTTGATTGTAGAGAGAAACACTTTATTTTCTTATAAAATATAAAAGATTGCTGCCCAATTATATTGTGTTGCTATATACACAGCTTACTCGTTAATTCGTAGGACAATAAATGAACTTATTATATAAATATACAGAAGTGATTAGTTTATATGAGTATAATAAATATGTATATATATATAATTCCCCACCCCTTTTTTTTAAACATTTAATTTCATTTTCTCTCACTTCTCTCCCTTTATCTCTCTTTATACATCTTTCCCATACAAAACATTAGAACATAGATCATTTCCTCCCTAGCCCTCTCGCATGTCAGCAATATCAAGGTAGGGGGAATTGATAAAAAAAAAAAAAAAAAAAAGAATTCTAATTCACTATATCAAAATCGGTCTATTTTAAGCAAAGATACAGCCTTTTGGAACTTGTAATAATATTTTGAATAAATTGGTTCCTCTTATAATAAATTTCATTCGCTTATTTTCTCATATTTTTTACATAAATTATTGCGCAGATTAATCGCACAAGGCAACTATTATATTGAAATTTCTTTTTACTAATAATATTTTATTGAAAAAAAAAAAAAATACATTTTGCCTCAATTGAGGGCATTGAATTGAGTATTTACGATATATGAAACACAAACATACCATATATACAATACAAGAAAAACAAGATTATAACAAAAGAAAAGAAAAGAAAACTTTGAATTAAAGAATAAATCAACATAAAAAAAAAAAAATTAAAAACACATTCATACTTATATATTGAAATTAAACTCTAGCCATAGTGTCATTGCAATCACCTAACACTTTTTGCAGAAATGAATTAATTTAATATGCTTGTAATATGGATGAGCATGATTGAAGCCTTTTGAGGTAAAGACATCAAGATAACTAGGTGGGGGTGAAATGGAAGGACAGATGAAGGGGGGTAGGGATCCTTGAGAAGCGCTGACACACCGATGGCGGCCGTGACTAGAAACGACCATGGGTCCCGGTAATGGGATGATGATAGGAGCGGAGACAAATAGAAAGGCAGTTAGATCCGCTCCACATATATATTTATTGCTACTAAAGGAGCTGCCGGGGGAAGGCTGTATACAAATTGTCCTCATCACCCGTTCGGACAATAACAATAACACCCGTCCCTCTCCGGAATAAATAAAAGCCGACTTATTCCGCGCGGGCCCCCCTCGCCACCGGGGAGCATGCATTTAAATAACATCCCCGGCTCCCGCACCCTCGTAAAATTATACAGATGGCGGATTGTCTCTCGTAAACGTCGAATAAAGGCAACTCTCTCCTCTTCCTCCCCTCCGCATTTATATCTTTTATTGCTTACAAACTGATACACTATAATAAATATAATGCCTAACCTAAAAATTTAGTGTGGTTGCCAAAATACACGTTTCTAATTCAAAATAAGCGAAATCTCTTTGATGGAGTCAAAGGCTAACAAATTGGAAGTGCGGAGGGGGTACCATAAACATCATTTATGTGTATTTATTATTCGGCTATTATATATATTTATATGAGTATGGGTCCCATAATTAAATATTTAATCTGAAAGAAAGGCTGGATATCACAAACTCCCATGCTGTGATATGTTAAATTAAATTATATCGACAATTAGATATCATTTCCTGGAGTATCTATCATGTTTAATAATTTTTTATTTATATATTGATATGTACGGAAAATGATAAAAATTAAGATAAAAAAAGTCTGTATAAAAAAAAACATTTTAAGTATTTGTACATCCAGAATGTAAATAACATGTTAGGGGTTAATTGTAAATTACCTTTTTGGCGGGACAATAGCGAATAGCCTCCCGTTTGGTGAGGGACTAGGTTATTTACACTTGTGAAGTTAATTTTTATTTAAACAATACCCCTGCATAGATTTTTTGAGGGTACTGTTGTTTAAATGTTGTTGGGAATTCGGGAAACTAATCCTTTTGTGACACTGCGTGAGAATAAATAATAATAATAGTTTTGTTTTGTTGTTTTGTTTTTCCATTTGAATAATGTTTTTTTTTTTTGTTTTTTTCAAAGTGGTGTTATTATTACTTCTTTTAATATACTTTTACTGAGATACTGTATATTTTCTTTCATATTGATTAATGTAATTTATGGCCAGATGTGGTTTTTATTTTTTTGTTCATAACTGTTATTCATAAGTGACCTCGTCCCAGAATAAAGATTACTTTCTATATTTATATATATATGAAATGTGGGATTTAGTAAACCCACCTTTAATGACTTGACACACCTGGTTTGTTATTCTTCAATTGTGAGGTATATAGGACAACTATATAAATAAATGACTTTTCACTCCTGTCTAACAAAACAATTTATTTTTACAACTGTAATAAGTGAATCTATTAAAGTCTTATAACTTTAGGCTTGATCTTCTTGATCTTCAGTGCAGTGCCTCTCTCTTCTGACAACCTCATTTCTTCCTGTGCAGACTTTGAGTTTGTTGTCTTCTCTCCAGCGTCCTTCTCCATCTGCTGCTACCTGACTCGGTCCTTTTTCCAGACTTCTTCCTTCTTCGTCAATTGTTTATCGATATGAGACTTTTCAATGAATACTTTGTCCACTTCAAAATTGAGTACAATTCATAGTGCAGCCTCAAATTCCTATATATTATATATTCCTTCTCATTCCCTCACACAATGTCACATAAAGGAGTAAATACTGGGGCTATCTACTACAAGAGTATTGAATTGAGGATGCCGATGTAAACGTCAGTAATGACTCAATTACTATATTGCCTAGTCAATGAATGATTATAAGAGGAAATGGCTGGGAGACAATTTTTGACTTTGGGAAATTGTTTGGACTAGTAAGGAGGTAAACATACTAATAGTCTCCTCTCCTAGGTGGTGAGTCCTAGCCAGTTGTGGGGGTTAGGCAGCGCCTAGGTCATTTCTTTTGCTTTTTCGCTTATATTAGGAAAACTATTCATCGCATCGACAAAGACGTTCCATACAAAATTATAGCTAATGAATTTCCAATATGATTGTTTATAGACAATTTTTTCGCTATCTCGGTTAGTTTCCGAGATATGTGTCCTTAACTATTTCTTATGTAGAAATAAATATTTCTATATCATTTATTTAAAATAATTACTCTAAATGAATAGCTGCTCTAATTGACATTTATTTATTTATTTTATTACAGTATTTTAATAAGTTACGTTTAATATAATATGTATAGTACATAAATTATTTTTCATTATAAATTATAAATTTCATCTTACTCCAATTATACTGCTGATAACCCACTTTCAGAGAAATTTCCTCGTTGAATAGGCTTCAGGTCCACATAAATTAAGTTGAGGTTTATTTGGAGAAAACTTAGGATTCACCACAAATTGTGTATAAAATGAAGTGATTTTATGTCCTGTTCCCTTAAAGTACCCGTGTTTTAAGCACAAATTACTACATTAAAGTGTTGAAAATCTTTCATTTATTTTTCATATTACGTCGGATGTGTAATAATAAATATTAACGCATAAAAACGCTATATATTTCTAAAATAAAATGTTTAAAATAATGGTTTTTCGATTATTAATCATCTAAAGTGGTAATAAAAATGTCGTTTTTTACACAGATCTCTATCACAGTAATTGATCCGTACTTATAGGTGACGAAATACATGTTTCCGTTTTTAAAATTTACGCTCAAAACAAAAATCCTTCTTATTGCTATAATTATTTTTATGAAAACGTAAATATTATGTTCAGGGACATTTATTGCTATTTAAAGTTTTTTTGAGGTATGAAAAACGAATATCAACTATGTTTTTCCCAAAAAAATATTTGTTGTAGATATAATGACGGGGAATAAAATATTATAAAAATATTTGGCAGATAGCTATGATATGAGCACAATTTGGACCAACCAACACGACGCACAGTGGTCGGCAGAAAAACGGCGAAATCCCTGGGAAACTTTCAATTTAGGCAAGGTTTTTTGAAAAATGGAATTTATTATAGTATTCTAAGCATTATGAATTAATATAGATTTCGGCGGGGGAAAAAATCCTTTAAGAAAACGAAATATTAAATTTTGCAATTTTTGACTGATAACAACAATTTTCTTGGTATACTTTAATGGAAACATCTGTAGGTTTTGCAATTTATAATATAATAAAACTCATTTAATACAATAGTCAATATTTTTTCTTATTCTGTGCAACAAATTATTTAATAATGATATATAATAATCTAAAAATCCGGCAAAGCAGGGAGAAAAATAAATAACATAAATTGTACTTGAAATTACATAAAATATTTTTTATTGGAACGTACTTCGGGCATGTCAATGGGATCAATAAAAATTTGATATAACAGTGGGAAATTTGGTTAAAATCGGTGACCTACTGACTGTAGATTGTCAGTGTATCTTTACGGTTAATCATTTATCATATCTACTACATTCACCAGATCGTC